AAGAAGCTTTAAATATCAACAATCCAAATCTCCTCTCCCAGCAGAAAAGGGTCTTCTCCCCCTGCTGTCCTTCCTGCTGTTTGCCTCATTTTGAGCCCAGGTTCCCTAGGCTGTGGCCCACAACTCAGAGTTGCTGGGTCAGTGATTAGGAGGGAGGATTTCCGGTCCCTTGTTTCTCTGTGATACATTCCTCTCCACTTCACGGGAACTTGGGCTCTTTACTCCTTTTTTACATTTGTTCATTCAGTTGTTTGAAAAAGCCTGTGGAGTTTGGACCCCTGGACAAAAATCCTGCCCACTCCCCCCCCCCAGGAGGCTGACAGGTACCTCTTTTACTGTTACATGGGTCCCCACCTCCCACACAGAGGTGCCTCTTCCCATATCCCCCCATGGGACCCCTCCTTCCACATGCCACACAAGGTCCTTTCCTCCACACACGTGGGTACCTCCTAGAGGGTGCAGACTGTCTCAGAAGGACCCATTTCAGCACACAGCAGGCAGCAGGTTCACATCGACTGGGCTGAGTTTGGAGGTTGGTGCTGAGGATTTTAAACATTCTCCTTTCCCATCCATAAGATGAGGTCACCATCTCCCTTGTTTAAAATGTGATCATGTATGCGACAACACTCCAGAAAGACGAGTGCTGCATAAGCCTGTTAGTGTCCTCCATCCACCTTGGCTTCCTGCCTCGTATCACCGTATTTCCATCTCCTCCATTCCTTCAAAACCTCTTTACTCCTTATTCCTGTCCTGACTCGCTGCTTCCCTCCCTTCTGCCCTCAGATGGGAAGGAAAGCATGAGTGAAAAAAAAAATCTGTTTCTCTGTCATTGTTTCCTGTCAGTGTGTGTTTAATGCTGTTCTTGCCCTGTGCACATGTCTCCCAGTGTAGCTGCATCTATAAGGCAGGCAGGAAATGCTGCCTACCATTCATAGGAGCACGCATGTGTGTGTGTGGACCCCTCCATTTGCTACGGCTGCCTCTGTATTGTGTGTTCTTCCCAAGTCTAAGCATGACAGAAAGTGTTCTCTTAGATTAAACCCAGTACCCAAGTACCTTCTACACTGTGTGGGTACCAGTATAAAACAGAGGAATTTTCACACCTACGTAATCTGCCTGTTCTGTTGACCTGGTTGACAGTTCTGTAGAATCAGTACAGAGGTGAAATTTTAGGTAAACCACAACGATGTAGCTTGGCTTTCGTGAAGGTGAGAGATGAAACTGAATCCTCAACAACAGTTAAGAACTGAGCCTCATTGCTTATGTTAACATCTCTTTGTATTTCTTTGTCCCTTTATCATATGGAAAAAGTGGCAGGAGAGAGAACTTGGGTGAATGGCAGGGAAAACGTTCTAGTGACATCTTAGCAGGGTCTATCCCCCTCTTTTGAAGGGACCTTGTATAGAGTAATCACAGGCATCCCCTGAAAAGCATTAGCATTAACCTTTACTAGACTAAGATTTTGTTTCTTAGCCACACTCGGATCACAGACTCTTCCACAGGTTGGAGAGTTCTCCATGAGTACAAACTAATAAAAACATTTACTGAGGTTTTTTTTTTTTTTTTCATTTTGATGGAAACAAAATGGGGAGCTGTCCTCTGAGAAAGAGTCCAGTGTCCTCAGGAGCTGTGTGGTGATGGAGGGTTCTGCCCTGGGTCGGATTCAGGGAGCAGCTCTGCCCCGTGGTGGAAGGCTGGAACTTCTGTTTATTGCACTCTGAACCCTCCCACCCCACAGCCTGGAGCACATTAGAGCCTTTGGAAACCCATTGTGTATTCAGAACCATCACTGTGTCACAAAATATGGGACAGGAAATTCATCTATAAGGTAATAGAATCACAGAGGAGACCCTGTTAGATTTGTTGATAAACTGACAAGAGGAAGAGTAAAAACTGTGGCCTAGCAGGAGTCTCCTCCCCAGACTAGGAGTCAGATCCAAGGGCAGACGGGGAACCTGCCTGCATTCATTCAAACAGCATTCACTGAGTGCCTAGTGACCTAGCAAAAAGACATTACCTTCTCATGAGTTCCTCATGCCCTGGGACAGGAAATGGACAGATATAAAGAGAATAACAGATGGTGGTGGAGAGGTGTACACAGGGGTCCAGGGAAGCCCCAAAGAGGGCAAGGCCAAATCCAACTAAACCCAACCGGGCATGAGAAGGTCAGGTTGAGGACTGTGTTTTCAGGGAGGCAAGCCTTGGTTGAGTTCTATATAAAGGAAGGGGGCCTTCAGTGGGTGGGCGGAGAGCAGAAGAGGCAGAGGAATTCCTGCAGGGCTCCTTAGAAGGATTGGCTTCAGGCCAAGTCAGATGCACACCTGTCATCCTAGTGTCCTGAGAGGCTAAGGCAGAAAGATCACAAGTTTGAGGCCAGCCTCAGCAACTTAAGGAGACCCTGTCCCAAAATAGAAAGGGCTGGGACTGAAGCTTAGTGGTAAAGTTCCCCTGAATATTTTGGCCTTAGTCCTGGGGAAGGAGTCAGTTCAGCAGGTCTTCACAGAAAGGAGGAATCTCATTTGGGGAGTCTCCTAGCAGAGCAAACCCAAGGGTCTGTATCTGATTCTGCAAATAAAGTTATATTAGACTGTGGCCCCACCCATTCTTTGGTGTGGCTACTACATCAGAGAGAGACTGTGTGGCACATAGCCTGTATACTTACTACCTGGTGTGTTTTAGAAAAAGTTTAGTGACCTTGGCCATCACATATTTTTGAAACTCTGAATAAGAGGACCCACAGTCCAGCACCAGGGCTCCACTTCCTGGACCATCTAATGAATTTGCTTCACCCCACGCTACCTGCCACTCAAGTCAGGAGCCTCTGGTCTCTAAACACTCTGGAAGTAGAATAGTGTCTGTAGTGGAGGTAGGGGGCTGGGCATTTCACTCTATATATCTCCTCTAAAACATCTGATCACCCCATCCTGCAACTGTTGGAGACTCCTAATTTCTCAGGACCTCTGCTACTATTTAGTGGCTTGGTAAGTGTTGCCCAGCAAAACCAGGATTTGCAACACTGATGGGAGTCACAGTCATTGGGAAGTACTCTGTATTCTTTGATGCAGCAGCCCATGCTTTAGTGACTTTTGTGCCCTAGCAAGTGGGAGAGGGAAGCTGCAGGCAGAGCTGCCACCTAAAGCATGAAGAAACACAAAGAATGCATTTCTAAAAGTGGCTGAGCCAGAAAGAGCTAGAAGAAATAGAGCAACAGCCATTCCCATTTTATAGATAACAAAACAGAGGCCCTGACAATCTAGGTAACTTCATTTCGACTGCCAGCAGACGCTGCCTCTGATCCCTGATAAGGAGGGTGTTTCTTCCTTTGGAGATGTCCCAGTGAAATGCCGGATCAAGAAATCATGAAGGGGAGGGGGGATAGTAGAGGATAGGAAAGGCAGCAGAATACAACAGACATGAGTATGGCAATATGTAAATCAATGGAAGTGTAACGGATGTGATTCTGCAATCTGTATACGGGGTAAAAATGGGAGTTCATAACCCACTTGAATCAAAGTGTGAAATATGATATATCAAGAACTATGTAATGTTTTGAACAACCAACAATAAAAAAAAGAAAAACAAAACAAAAAAGAAATCATGAATTTCTGTTGCACACTTTCTAAAGATGTGGCCTTTGAGGATTAGGTACAGCTAAGATCCTCTGTAGGACTAACTTCTTCTTTTAGTCCCAATAACCACCATGGTACTATTTAGCAAATAATGTTGCAATTTGAGATCTGATTTCTGACTAGTCCTTTGTATAGAAAACCACTGGTAGTAAATAAGGGTGACATTTTCCAAACCTTCCTGGAAAATATAGATACAAAATGAGAATGAAGCAGGTAGAGTTAGAGTTGTCCAGATTTCCAAGCAGCATGATCATTGCTATAGAAAAATCTGTTTATAACTCTCCACTTCTTAAAACCTTTCACTATTTATTGCTCTGCTGTTCTTTGAGGAAAAGACCAAAGTCCTTGTCGTGGCATTTGAGGTCTTTCCTGTGTGGGCGCTGCCTGTCTCATCTGTCTCACCTCTCAGTACCTCACACATTTTTCTTCCGGAGTAAGTGGGTTCCTGCATTTGGACCCACCTCAGTACTTTGAAAGACATTTTTAAATTGTCTGGCTCATTCCCATGTTGTCCTCACATCTCAGCTAAGTTAGTGTTGGATCTGGGAGGCCTTCTCTGAGCTTTGGAGATTGAGTTGGGTCTCCTCCCTTGCCCAGTCCTGAGTCATGTCATCTATACCGTTCAGTTGCTTGTTCACTGTTCCTCCTTAGATTGTAAGCTTCTTGTAAGAATGCTGCTCTTTTTTTTTTTTTTTTTTTAGTTTTGATTCTGTAGTTACCAGGAAGAGGAATCCACTTGTACTAGTTACTATAAATGGGATTTGTGGTGAGAAAATATATAAAGCAATAAAGAAATCCGGGTGGAAATCTAATATCTGTTAGGACCTATCCCTATTGGAACCACAGTGGGAATTCCTCAAGATGGCACAGGTGTTTTGTGCCTCTCTGCTCCTCTGCACCCAAGTTCTATTTGCCCTTCTTTCTCCTGTTGGTTTCTTGAGCTCATACACATGACTGCATGAAGTATCTGCATGGTCTCACTTTGCCTGTGTGGCCTCGGATGCCCCCTCCCCCAGCCCTGGCAGGCATTCTTAATCTCATGGCTTTTTTTCCTGCTCCCCATTCATTTGGTTCTCTGTTTCTCACTTGCAAATTTCTAAGCAAGTACACTGGTTAGCCTACTCACCCTTTTGAGCCAAGGCACACCAGTCAGAGGTCATCATCTTGTAGGTGGGTTCTCCTGGAGTCAGGTCTTCACCACAGACCAATCAAACATGTTTGGAGCTGGTGAGGTTCTATGGGTCAGAACCTGGCTGCCATGATGGGTATCTCTTATTTTGGTTTCTCTTCCTGTCTCTCTGCTGACAAGGATGTTAGGCATGTATATTTTATGGACTTCATGGTATCCTTCATTGTTTTCCATTTTTTTAGATATCATTAATGGAGCTCAAGAAAAATGTGTATTGCCTCCTATGGATGGCTACCCCCACTGCGAGGGGAAGATCAAGGTAAGGCTGAAGCATCACCTGCTCATTTCCATCATCCTCAATCTTTTTCCCTCCCAGAGATACAACTGTGTGAGTGAGCCCTGGAAATGAGTTATTAAGGGGTGCCTCCATCCTTCAGTATTGCACTATGGCCATGATGACCCTTCTCTGCTTATGCCAACCCCATGGAGTTAGTCAACATTGACCCTCCATGGTCATATTGGAAGAGCCTGGGCTGCTTTGGGTGCCTGCCATAATGTTGCTTTCTTTCCCAGCCTCTAGTGGGTGGGTGCTCCTGTGAGGGTTACTTAGTGTCCACCTGCCCCCTACCCCCACCTCCCTGCTGCCTTAGTCCCAGGCTCCTGATCATTTAATCCAGGCTGCAATTTCGGTGCCACATTTGCATTTGCAGTGAGTACCCAGAGATACTTGGCCACTCTTTCAGAGTTATCATTTTTTATATTTTGGTGCTGGGGATCAACCCATGCCTCATGTATGCTAAGCACATTCTCTAACACCAACCTGCAGCCCCAGCCTAATGTTACATTTTTTTAAAAATCCATAGCGACAGTAAAGAGATTAGTTAGTGGTTGCCAGGGGATTGGAGGGTGGGAGACATGAGGTAAAGCAGAAGGGATCATTTAGGCAATGAACTATCCCGTTGATAATTTCACAGTGGATGGATGCTATAATACATTTATCTAAAGTTGTGGAATATACAACACCAAAGGTGAAGCCTAATGTGGATGATGGTCTTGAGTTGATATTGATGTGTTCATGTAGGTCACTGATTATAGCAAATGTAACACTCTGATGCAGGATGTTGATGGGAGCGGTGTGTTGTGGAGAAGGGTGCACAGAAGCTCTGTACCATCCACTCACTTTTGCTGCGAACCTAAAACTGTTCTAAAACATAAAGTCTACAGTTAAAAAGAAAATTATGTTTGTATAGCCTGCCCAGTAGCTTTCAAGAAGTTTCAGTTTAGGTCTGCAGTTATGACTGTGAGACCAACCTGGCAAGCACTTGCTGGTCTCCTTTGGAGCAGGTGCTCCCCCATGCCCACACTGCACTCAGGCCCACCTGCATACACTCTGCGTTTCAGGCACTGGTGAAACCCTAGTTTCCAGAAGATGTACACTTGGCCTTAATAAAACTCTGCTAGGCATGGCCTCTCCTGGCCTCACTCTACACTAATTGCCCCAGCTGTGGCCTAGCTGAAGCCAGTGTCTTCCTGTGGGTGCTCCAGGTGTTAAATATCTGGTCATTTTGGTTCAGCAACCCCCTTGCTCTGTTGTTAGGCTATGGTTTGAACCATTCACCCTGCTATCACCCTTTATACCCCCTCCTTCTCTCAGCAGATGGGTAGGGGCCCAGGGAATTGAGAGCTGAAAGGTATTCATGTGTGTTCTTGTCATTTCAGTGGATGAAAGATATGTGGCGCTCGGATCCCTGCTACGCAGACTATGGAGTGGATGGGTCCACCTGCTCTTTTTTTATTTACCTCAGTGAGGTAAGTAACTAGCTTCTTGTAGCTCCTGGGGGTGCATGTGTGTGGTTAAACCGTTTTGTGGCTGAGCCTGGAATTTGAAAAGTTTCAAAATGCGTGGTGTTGTTTTTATATGGAGGACCTATGGTCTCTTTGTCATTATTCTCCCCACTTCTCAAAGATTTTTTTTTTCCTTAGTAGAAAAACAGGCTTGAGTTAACTGTTCACTTTTTTCCTTCAATTTTTCCTATTGTGAAAACAGATAATGTGAGAGCTACCATCTGAACCACGTTTAAGACCAATTCAGTGGCATTGAGTACTTTCACGCTATTGTGCAACCATCAGCGCCACCCATCTCCAGAATCATTTTCATCTTGCACAACTGAAACTCTGTACCTAATTAGCACTAATTCCACACCTCTGTCCCCTAGCGTCTAGCAGCCATCATTCTACTTTCTGTCTCTTTGAACTTGACTATTCTAGTTACCCCCTAACAACAAAATCGTATAATTTGGCATTTTGCATCTGGCTCACTTCACTAATCTTCAAGTTGTAGTATGTGTTAGAGTTTCTTTCCATTTTAAGACTGAACCATATGCCACTGTATGTATATACTACCATTTGCTTATTTATCCACCTATCTGTCAAAGCTTGGGTTGCTTCTCCATTTGGCTTTTGTAAATAATGCTGCTTTGAGCCTGGGTGTATAATTTTCTCTTGAATACCTTGTTTTCAGTTCTTTGGAAAATATATACCCAGGAGTGGAATTACAGGATCATTTAATAATTCTATTTTTCATTTCCTGAGGACCTACTGTACTGTTTTCTGTGACAGTTATACCACTTTACATTGCCAGCAAGAACAAGGGTTCCAGATTCTCCACGTCTTCACTAGTACTTGGTACCTTCTGTGTTGTTGATAGCAGCCATCTTTATGGATGTGAGTGGTAACTCTTTGTGGTTTTGGTTTGCATTTCCTTTTTTTAGTGATACTGAGCTTCTTGTCATGTGGCCGGAGTTAGCCATTTTCTTAAAGGTTGAATTAGTTACTTTTGTCTTCTCTTACTTCTATTATTGCACCCTTGAATTTAAATAGCAGCTTTTTTGTTTTAAATAAGGATTGCAGAGCATTTTCCAGACCACACAGGTTTTGCTGTAGGCTTCAGTGATCTTCATTTCACCTTTAGGAAAGTCAAGGAGTGGAGAGGTGTTAAGGTCTATCCAGAAGGAGCTGCAGGGCAAGAACCTCTAGGGAACCAAACCCTGCTCTTTCTCCTTCTCCCCCGTTGGCCAGGCCAGCCCTCAGGGCAGATGAAACAGGTGCAGACCAGTTTCAGAGGATGCAGCTCAGTGGGCTTTCTTCTGCCATTTCTTTTTCGTCCTATCCTATTTGTGCTGTTGATATTGCCATTTAGCCAACATTAACAGCTCCCTGGTGCTCCATGGAAAATGACTCCAGTTTTGAAGCTAAATTAAATGTGTTTGCCATAGTTTTTGTTGTGATGTTACAGGGCAAGTTCCCATTGTAGAGCTGAGGCCACTACAGTGGTCCTTTCTTGCTGGCTCTTTCAGTCACATCAGAAAGATTTCAGACATGTCTCTCGAGAGTACTAGGCATACTTTCATTGAAGGGATAGGAAAAGGGGACGCTCGCAAGGAGAGAGTGGGTCCTCTCAGGAGATAAACAAAATGCCCCTCCTTCCCTCCAGTTTCACTGGGAGTCCAAGGAGAGTTTCCAGAGAGTCCCACCCATGTCTACCTCTTGACTTTTGACTGACAACAGAATAAGTCCTCACTGTGCATGGTAAAGGTCCAGGGCAATGTTAGGTCATTTTGGCCCATGCTGGTCACAGTTCTAATTGGGTCCTCTTGTTATAGATTTTATGGTTAGGGTGAATTATCCTTATCTCCCTGACTTCTTTTAATATTTATGTTTTTTTTTTTTTTTTTTTTGCCTTTTTTTTTTTTATTGGTCGTTCATAACATTACATAGTTCTTAATACATCATATTACACGGTTTGATTCAAGTGGATTATGAACTCCCGCTTTTACCCCGTATACAAATTGCT